GCAGAGAGTGTAATTAAAACAAGATATTAAAATAATAAATTTCAGGATCATGTAGTCCCTACACCAAGCATGAAGAAAAAGTTGATACGTAACACAGACTTCTATAACTAGACTACTGACTCAATATGATAGAAAGAAATAAACCTGATTTCGAGCTGTTATTGTTTCAGTTCACATATGAGTAAGTATGCGTCCTGTGAGTATCGCCTGAATCTGTGTGAAAACACTAACATTGTTATAATAGTTCTTTCGTCACGTCTGGCCTCCAAATTCTTCCGTATGTTGTGAAATGTTCTGCGAGTCCTTTTGAGGACTTCGCGCTTGGACAGTCTCGTTTCGGAAATTTGCTATCTCTTCGGATCACCATGACATCGCTTTCTTGGAACGCGGGGAGGTCCTAGACATCGCACATGCTCGTATCATAAGGGCTTGTGTTTTCTCCGCCTCTTAGTCTAGGTCCCACTCTTCGGTAGATGAGGAGGTGGTCCAATTTTCCGGTATGATGGCAGCGGTCATCCAGTCCAAATCCATTTGGTGGATTCTCCATCGATTTGATCAGTAGCCTGTCTTTCCGCATCTGTGCCGTTTCTCCCAGTATTGTCTAGATGTCCGATAGAATCTTATCCGGGAGGATCCTCCACATATCTATTCTGGCCGCGGTCTGACGCAAGTGCTAGTATTTCCCGTGTTAATACAGCATAGTCCTAGGGCCGATGTCCAGTTTTCCAAGTTTAGACCCCGACACTCCATGATAGCTGACCCCCCCCCCCCTCCCACATGTTCGCCTTGGCGTTAAAACCGGCTATGATTATGAATCTCTGTGATATCTGCGAAGGCAAGCCTTCTCAGAAAAGGCACTTTAAGCTGCTGATCAAAGTGGAAGAGGTCCATCTCTATTAGGGGAGATGTAAACCTCAATGATCTCCCCATTTGACCGCGATATGCACGTCGCCAGACCGGAACTGCATGGGAGAGGATTGATTGTCTGCCTCCAGATAATAGCGATTGTATTTTATCGTTCCCTGTCCAGTGAGAATAGTTGATGGGAATCCAGTAGGGCTCCGTAACCACCGCGATGCCATAATCCGCCATAGTCTGGAGGAGTATGTCCTGAGCTTGACGGGCATGATTAATATTGGCCTGCAAAAACTTATTGGGCATTATTGTCAATATTGTTGGCATCCTTCTCTGAGTTAGCATTTCGAGCTAGTGGATCGAGGTGCTCGGCTAGTTTGTTGATGATTTCTTCCTGGCAATCCGCATCGCTTTGGGGCTGCAATGGTTTCCTCCAATGCCTCCACCTCTCATGGCTTCTATCCCCGTCTTATTGGTGGACTTCAGGATTCTCACTCCCTTTTCCCTTTGTGGAAGAAGTAAAGATTCCTCGTCCTTTTTTCTATTAGGATATGTCCCTGGTTGAGGGCTTCCATAAGCCGCAAAAGATGATAAACTCCTCTCTTCCATCATGGACAACATAGATTTCCCTATCCTTTTCTTTTGAAGAGGAGAATTGCAGGCCTTGCCTCCTAGTCTGTGGTTCGTCGGATAGCTCAGATCAGCGCAAATTGTGCAATGTATCAGGGCTGCGCAGTGCTGCGCAATATGACTCACCAGTCTACACTGGTAGCATCTATTGCTTCGGTCTATTGTGCTAGTGCATTCTGTCCTGATGTGATCTCTCTTCGGGCAACGGAAGCATTGCAGTGCTCTATTCGGAAGGAACTCTACGCGCACCATCGTCTACTTTATTTTAAACCTCAGCGCCTTGGTTTTTCTGTTCGCCGCGATTAAAGAGCATTTGACCCAAACTGTACTCAGATCATTCGGGGCATTGTTAATAGGATCCATCTTCATCTCGGAGGATTTATTTCCTTCTTTCGCCACATATTCGGCTAATTTCTCCGACATGATAGTGTCCTCGATATTTTTAATTCTGATATCTTTAATTCTTTTTAATTCTCCAAGGTCTTTTCCAGTCTAGAGAGATCAAGACATCTTCTTTGTCGGCCAGCGCCTCTCTCAGTTTGTCGGTGAGTGTATTCGCTTTGGTCGCTCTTTTCATTCCGCCTGGTATTTTTAGAAGAAATGCATCGGGCCCTTCTGGGGCGAATCTCAGAAATACCTATCTCGTCGATGTTTATCTTTTCTTTAGTCAGCCTCATTATCTCTAAAGTTTCCCTCCTGCTGCTGATTTGCATAGCGGCAGTACGTGAAGATTTTCTGGCTTTCGACACGTCTGCCTTTGACTGGGACTCTCTCTTGAGGCCCGTGCTAGGAAGATCTCTCTGTATGTACGAGATATATACTTATTTTCCTCTTAGCCCTCATGCCAAGGACCTAAGACCAATTTTCCTGTAGCGGAGAGGCAGGATCCCTAAGTTGCGGTATGGTCCGGCTCTTTTGGAGCGTCCTGATTGGACACATAATTATTGGACACCGCACGATTGGACACGCACGATTGGACACCGCATAGTTGGACACCGCATTATTGGATACCGTATTATTGAACACTGCATTATTCGACACGCATTGCTGGACACTGCATTATTGGACACCACATGATTTTATACCATACGTCTTTAAAAAATTTGTTATTCGATATGTAAATTATCCACATTTAAGGTAAGGTTTTCTTAATGTGAACGTATATACATATCTAAATGCGCTCACCGATCGACTTATAGCTTTTTTTACTAGGTCAATGATTTCTATCTATACGTAATTCATATATTTATTTCATACAGTGACGCATTTATGAAAATTTTAAAAAGTTAGATTCATCATACATATTTAACAACGTTTATTTAGGCTGTGTCCCCAGAGAAAACTGAAGATACATCGAGAAAAATGAAATTATAATAAAGCATTAAGACTAAGTTTCCACTGAGTTACACGTAGCGTCGTGAAACAGAGAAAGAGAGAAGTTTATATATATATATATAT